GAAATACGTTTTATTTTCTTTAGTATTAAACAGTAGTTGTTGCTGAAGAATAAAAAATTATTTTTTTTTTTCTTGCATACTGTTGCACCCTTGAGGAATTTAGTTGTCTCATTTAATGACCAAAGAAAAAAAAAACTTTTTTTCGACAAACGACAGTTGTTTGTTGCCGAGTTATTGAAATAAAAAAAAACGTACGAAAAAATAAGTTAAACGTACGAAAAAGTATTTTAAACCATACAAAAAAATTAAACGTATGAAAAAAATATAGGATATATATAATTTTTTTCTGAAAATTGACTCATCTTGTGTATTTATTGAGACACGTCGTGTTCTATAGTACGCGTTTGAGGCTGAGTGTGCTGAGTATGGAAAGATCATCGATCAGACACAATTATTACATAATATATCTAACTATAATAATAATATTGTATAGGTGAGTCATATTGAACTTTTGATTGACGCAATAACTATCTAGAATTGGTAAGAAATATTTCTAATGTAAAATAATTTACTATTAATTATATTTTTTATAGATAGATGAAAGAACCGTGCGATTTTCTTGGTGATAGCATACTTTAAAATCCTGAGATGTTAATGGTGTCAATTTTATGTTTATAAACTGTAATAACATTTCTATCTTGTGGAAACAATATTAATTTGATTTATTTATTTATTTATTTTGTTTATAAACTTTGAATCCAATCATTTCCTAATCATGTGATATGCGTATTCGTTAATTCTAGCTGGAATTCCTATAAATTTATTTAATTTATTTAAAAATTGATTACACATCATAATAAAAACCATCTAATAATAAAGTGGTATTTAAATGTAAAAAAGAAAAGGTTTTAATGTAAAAAAGAGATATTGTATTTAATGTGAAAAATAAGAATTAGTAATGTTTATGTGTAGAAAAAAATAATGAGAGAGACATTTTACGTTACCTATTTTTTTCTGTTATAAATTGATTTTGAAAAAGAGCTCGTAAATATTGAAAACAAAAAGAAAATAAAAGAAAAAAGAAAACTTTTTTTTTTCTTTTTTCTTTTGAAAAAACCACTGAAAACCCCATTCAAAACACTATTATCAATGACACGTGCATGATTAACTTACAATTTTTATATTTTGTATACTATAGTTTATATTCTAAGCGCCAATTAATTTCAACTGAGTTTCCCGTTTGTGTAATCCACCGATGTCACACCCCCCTGTGACGCGATATTTTTTATTTATTTATTTTATTTCTAGAAGAGTAGTAAATGTTATCTGTTACAAAAGATATGTAATAAAACAAATCGCAGGGAAATCTAGTAAGTAGAAGTACATTATTCAAATTACGCTACTACTAGCATTAGGAAAAAATAAAATTACAAAAAAAAGAAAAGAAAAAAAGAAAAGAAAGAAAATATTAGTCCAATGGGTAAAAGAAACTGATGATAAATCAACATCTAAAGATAATAACCAAGTTAAATTATGTCTGAAATTTGACGATGTTAAATAGATCCATAAGATATTGTTGTCAAATGCTCGTCGTGAGTCATTAAAAGGGTGTCGGTAGCCACGTTCCATAATGGAGTCGTTAAGATTTCAGTTATGACGTGTACGTTTTCGATTATTATCATTAGGATGTGTGCGTCGATAATCACGGAATGAAGATTTGGTGATATTAAGACGTTTCTTGGTCTCTTTCCACATAATGGAGCGTTCTTTCCAAATAGCTTCGTAAATGTTTTTGTGAAGGTCGTATAAAAGTTAATTAATATTTTTTTCATTCGAGCTTTGCCTATACCAGCAGCCTTAAAAGGATAAATAATCTCTTTAGGGATTAAATTTAGGAGTAAACAATGTAAATGTGGATTATCCGTAATTTTCGTTAAATTACGTTCAGTCCAGTTAAACCAGTCCAAAAGTTTGTCAACTTAAGTCGGTTATTATTGTGACTTTGTGGAGTTAAACTGGAAAGAGTATGAGGTTGTCTTTGAAAAAAACATTAATATTAGCAATAAGTTTGTTTATGTAATGAATATCATTCGAATAGAATAAGAATTATCAAATTGATGAGAATTTTGTTTAATTTTTGGAAGGTTAAGGCTTTTTATCGTTTTGTCTATTGCTTGTTGGATATGTTCATATGTCGTATTAACATGTTTTTGAGGATCATGATGAGTACGATAATTGATGGATTCTCGTTGAAATTATTGATAAACGAAGTTGTGGAAATCAGTCCATTGATTTTTAGAAATCCGTTTAGAATTAATGCGTTCGTTGTAAGAGGGATCAGGGTTATGTATAATAAGAAATTGTTTATTATTAAGTGTAAAATAATTTTTTGTAATTTTGTGGTTTTTTATATCTAGTCTGTTATTGGGATCCTGTAGATTTGTTTCGCATACGTGTAATAAATGAATGTGATATATGAAATAAGTGTCATTTTTTTGTTGATCGCACCTTGGATATTGAAAGTAGCGAAGTTAATGGAAGAAAATTGGGAAAATTTAGGGGAGGAATTCGTATCCAAATCAATGTTATTTTGTTGTACTATCATTAGAAAAATATAAAATTTGAAGAAGATGTGTATAATCAAGGTTGGATTAAAATCAAAAATGGAGAATCAAAAAAATAAAGCCAAAAATAAAATAAAAGATTGATCGATCGATTATTTAGTATTCTAGTACAAGAAACGATCTCTTGGGAGTAGAATTGTTAAGATTAGGGTGGATTACTTCGTTCACTTGTTTGCGGAAATGCGGCTAGATTATCATTGGATTTTTATATAAAACAGAAAATCAAAATATTTTTAATGCCAAAATTGAGTCGACGCTTTTTTTTTATAAATGCAATAATAGCAAATTTATAGAGAATATTTTTCCGAGAACCATTATTATTCTTTAAATAAAAGTGAGTTTTCTAATAATACTTTGTTTTAGAAATTCTTGATTTTTTGGATTGCAATCAACGATATGATCTAAATATAAAAAATGATTAAAATGATTATGCATAAATCAAGAATCTTCAAAAGCAACAAAAATACTTTGTGCTCCATCTGAATATTTCCAATAATTTGAATAGTAAATCTTGTTAGTAATATTTTCTCATTAATGTCCTTTACAATATTTACAATATTAAAGTCATAATATTACGTGAATAATTGGAGTATCGTGGTCACGCAAATTTAATTAAATTGGTAAATTTAAGTAAAAATACTTTATAATTTGTTAGCAAAACGAAACTATCATGTGATTAATAATAGTAATTTGAGACTTTAATAATAATTTTTAATTCCTATCAAATATATTTGTAATATTTATAGTTGAATAAAAATTTCTTAGTAAAAATAATTTATCGATTAGCTGATCGGGCGAAACTTTTTCTTAATTTACAACTCGTCAATTGAAAACCTTTAATTGTTACAAAAAAGATTATATATCGAATTAAATAATTTATTAAATGAAAAAAATTCTTTCTCCTACCTTCCGTTTTCATTAAAATTCTGCAATATTATTACGGCTGCTAATAACGTATAATTTCCAGAAATATTTATTTCAATACCATTTTTTTTTTCTTTTGAATTATTGACTGGTCCCAGTTGATGCAATAATAAGATAAATATGAAATATGATTCACTTAAAATACCGAGAAATCGAAGAATCGGAGAAGTTAATACGTTTCTAATTAAATATCTTGACAAGATTTAAGCCTTGACTACACGTCTCATCAAAACTAGGTCTCAATCGCCGTAAGAAGTTGCTTTTCGTTTTAATTATTTAAATTAAAAAAAAAATTAACAATATACCCTAGTGAATACTGCGATTAATAATGATGAATCTCTTACAGAAGAGAAGCAATAAATAAATTAAATAAGAACTTTGACGGGATTACATAATTTGTGAAAATTGTCAAAATGAATGTTTAGTTATAACATATTGTGAACATTTTGTTCGAGATTATTTAAAAAATTTTTAAATTGGATAACAATTTAATACATTAATAGAATGGATTTCTATAATTTATATTTTTAACTAAAGGTGGATTCTCCGAAATTTATATAACAGATTGGATTGATGGGCGTTATAAATTATAATAAATGAGTTTCTAAAGAAAAACAACTGAAAAGTTTTAAAGGTTACTGAGTAATACTTAAAAGATTAGAAAATGTTGGAAAGTGCTAGATTGATGGGGTATTTATATTGAAAGGATTCTATTCGGCTTTATGTAACTTTTTAAAAAAAATATACGTGTAATTTTATATGGGAAATCACATGGATCAATAGCACCAAGCCGTATGTCCACTCAATGGTGCAGCTAGGTGTAAGATCGATATTAGGAATGGACCATGTTTTGGTTTAAAAAAGAAATTATATGCTTGAAATAATTGTAATGTGTTGTAATGTTGTATGGATATAGATTTAAGAATTATTTACAGCGAAATCATAATGACCTTACATGGAAAGAAAGAATTCAAATTACTTTACTTATGATATATACTTCACGCACTTCATATAATTCATAGTGAGAACAGAATTCACGGATTCTATATCATCGGATTAATCATTATGAGTGATCTTAAATATTGTGGACCAGCTGATATTGTATGTATGGAATCTTCACTATTTCGACTGATATCTCTTTTCCCCCATCCAATAACTATTTAATAATATATAAATTTCTTAATAGATATTCCAATTATCGATGGTTTATTTTAGATATAATCATTGTATATATATAAACTAGTTATTTCGTTTCTCGTTTGAAATCTGATTTCTCATGACTGGCTTGATCTTAAAATAATAGACGCTTGTCAACATGTAACTGGTATATGCTGATAATTTTACAATAATTTTCTCTAAGTAAAAGAAAATTATATATTCATTTTGTAATTTCAATCGAAATTTAATATTTAAGATTCCAAAAAAACTCTGCCTGATTGTAAAAAATTTTAATTATATTTTTAGTAAAAATTAAAAAATTATAAGAAAAAGAAAAAATTTGGTTCAACGTTACGTAATTATATATTTTTTATTAAAAAAATAAATAATTAATATATCACAATGATTTTTTTTTTTTTCGTATAAAATAATTAAAAAACAACAATATTTAAATCTTAAATACGACTTTAATACAACCATCTAATTTCTTATCAAATATATTATAAGCCTTCTCACCATCAGATAATTTTAACGTATGAGTAATGATTTTTTCAAAATCAAATTTTTTAGAAAGTGCCAATGGAATTGATTTAGTTAAAATATGCTTTACCGGACATCTACCTGACTTGTATGTAAGATTTTTATCATACCCACTTAATAATAATAAAAAAAAAGAAAATCAATAAAATTAAATAATATAGATGATGAATATTTTTTTTTAAAAAAAAAACTTACCTTGCTGGACTAAAAGGAAAAGTTGTTGAATTATGAACACCAACACTAGATATTACACCAGAAGTTCTAAGAATATTAAACGCCAATTCAAGTGCTGAAGGATTACCAACAACCTAAAAAATAAATCATTAGTTAAATAAAAAAATTATATATACAGTATTACATATATTCTAATTTTATTAAAATTTGGTATATTTACCTCCAACACAACATCAGCACCTCGACCATCAGTTAATTCTTTAATTTTATTCAAAGGATCACATTCAACAAAATTAATAATATTAGCACCAAATTCTTGAGCAATTTTTAATCTTTCTTCAACGCAATCAATGGCATAAACAGATTTAGCACCAAGAAAAATTGTAGCAGCAATAGCCATTAATCCAACAGGACCACATCCAATAACCACAACAACGTCATTATCACTAAATTCATGACCCAAACCATTTTGGGCACAAAAATAACCTGTTGATAATACATCACCAAGTAATAATGCCACATTATCATTAATATCTTGTGGAACTTTAACTAATGTTGTAGAAGCAAGAGGGACTCTGATATATTCCGCTTGTGCTCCTTGAATTCCTTTCCCTTTTGATATCCATCCGTATAAATTGCCTTTTTCACAACGACATGTTATTCCACGTTTACAATAAAAGCACTAAAAAAAAAAAAAAATTTTAAATTATAAAAATTATTAAAAAAGTTTATTAATAAATTCTTATATAATATGAACTTTCTTACATTATCGCAAGACGTTGTAAAAGGAGAAAAAACACGATCACCAATTGATAAGGTCGTTACGGCATCACCAATTTCATGAATGATTCCAACGAATTCATGACCCATTATGGTTCCTTTATCCAATCCTCTCTCATTTTCCCTATAAACTAAAAAATCAAAATATAATCAAATTAAATATCAAGTTAAATCAAGTTTATGAGAATAAAATTATCTACAAAAAAAAACAAATTTTTTCATTTTTTTACTATGAAGATCCGATCCACATAGTCCACTAGCAATAATTTTCACAATAACATCAGTTGGTTCAATTAATTTTGGAATATCAACGGTTTTAACAATAACCTTAAAAGGATCCTGGTACGTTATAGCTTGCATCTTTTTGAACAAAAATATAAGGAATTAAAAAGGTGAAAGAAAGAATCCAAAAAAAAGGGGGGATGTGAGATTATTTATATGATAATCTTTGATACGGTTAAAGGTTTAACCCGATTTCATTTGTATAACGAACTGGTTTGAGTAAATAATTTACTAAATTCACTTGATTGTAATGTCATGCATGGAGGATCATGATAAATTATTACGTAAACTTCTTTCCATTATAATATTTCAGCTGCAATTGCATAATTCTTACTGCAACATGTAGGCGTTTATAGATCAATCCCGTACAATAGCGACAATAACAAGATGCAAAAAAAAAAGGTATTGAATAATGTAAAATAATTGTATTATTATTTATCATTGAACAAAACGGCCACTAGCTGCAAACATACGTATTTTTATTTATTTATAAAAAAAAAAAATGTATAAATATAAATGAAAAATTTTTTGTAGATACGAATCATTTTCCATTAATTATTTTCTCTTTGAGCGTACGTACATTCATCGAAAAATATTATTATAAGAAAAAAAAAAAAAAAAATTATTTTTTTTTTTGATCGTGAATAATAATAATAATCATGGCCAATAAATTACCGAATGAAATATTACTTGACATATTTACAAGATTATATCATGAACATGAAATGAGGTAAATTCAATTTTGTTAAAATTAAATTTTTTATTTTTTATTTTTTTTTTATTTTTATTTTTATTTTTATTTTTTTTTATATTTTTCTTTTTAGTTTTCCCGAATTATTTCAATTACGAAGGACATGTAAAAGATGGAATAATTTAATTCCAATAGTAATTTCCGATGAATTATTACAATATTATGAAGACGGATGGCTTTTCATGGTAAATAATTTATTTATTTTTTTTTTTTTGTACAATTTTTGTTTTTTAACGTAATTTATATTTACATTATATTAATTTTATTTTAGTTTAAAACGACGAATGAAAATGAAAAGAATAATCAAAACAAAAAAAAGAATAAAGAAACCAAAGAATCAAAACAAATTTTTGCAGATTTCATTAGATACGATTCAACATGCCAAACATTTGATTTTGAATTTAATGATGAATGTAAAGCGTTATTCGAAAAAAAGAAATTAATTGAAGTGTGGGTGACACATGTGAATAATGCAATATATTTTTATATTGGTAGTATTAAAATGTTAATTAATAATAATAATAATAATAATAACAATAATAATAATAACAATAATAATAATAATAACAATGATAAATTAAGGGAAGATATATGTTGTTTTAAAGGAATTAATGGGGAAAAAAGTTACGGAATTTTAGGTAAAGAAGGTACAAAAGATAAATTTCATATACAATATATGAAAGTTAAAGATGTTATACTTTTAAAAGTTTTAGAAGTTTTTAGAAAGTTCGATAAATGTTGAAAAAAGATTTTTATGAATATAGAAATTAAAATAGTATAATGGACTAATTACTTGCATTGTTTTGTGATACTGATATACAATTTATACAATTAATCAATTATACGAATTGTCCGCGTTTTTATTTTTATAGTAACACATTACCCATTTTCGTATATCCTATACAAATCGGTATAATTCTATAATTCATTAAAATTAATCGTCACGCAAATCAATTATAACGTGATTGTAAAATGGAAAATGATTACTAAATATAGTATAATAAGACATGTTAGAGTTTTAAGATCTATATTCTATAATTCTGTGCAGCGAAGCAATAGAGATTTTTATCTACAAATTCTGCATTAAAATTTACATATGATTTTAATTTAGAATGTTCTAATTTGAATAATGTTTAAACTAAATTTTTTGTAAAACTCAAGTGTGAAACGGTTTATAATTCGGTTTAAACTAAATTTATAATTAGTATAAAACTTAGTTTTTAAAACCGGTTTAAAATCTGTTTATCCAATCAAAAAAAATATATGTATTAAAAATTCATTTTCTTATAAATAAACTTTTAATTTAAATGTTCCGAGGTCCGGTATTTATCTTTGCCAAAATTAACCATAATGCTGGCCAAAATCGATCATAATTCAGGCCAAAAACCCGTTGATATATTGGTCGGAACGTAAAAACTAGTTTGTATAATTTGTATAATTGAACCTCATAAATCCGAATTAATTTACTAAAAGTTTCGAAGTAATTATTTGAGAATTTTTTAACTTTCATAAACCTATTCAACTACTTCTAAGAATATTTAGGAATATTTGCAGTAATATCACCATTAGTTAATGAACTTAAGATTTTGTCCGGTTTTAATCTTTTGTGAATCTCTTTCAGAATACTCGAAGAAAGTTCTCGAGTATTCTCAATTTATATATATATATATATATATATCAACTTTCCTTCTTTAACTATTATGGAAATTTCATCCTCAAGCCATTCATACATTTTTTATTTTTAATAATAGGAACGTAATGTATAAAGAAAGAAATGAAAGTGTAACAAATATAAAGTATTCAACATAATTTCCAATAAATTTAATATAAAAGAATCTGAAGAAGATTTTAAAATTTTTAAATATGTTATCGTAATAATACATCATAACAGTAAAATAACAAATGATCCCTTAATTCATTATTAAATACAGTACAAACCCGTTGAAATTTGTGAAATTGTAACATTATTCCATTTAGTATATTAAATTTTCAGTAGTGAATTAAATTTACCATGCTTATTTGACTCGATCACGTTAATCGATCACATGTAATCAATCATATTCGACCATTTGCTCGAACCAATCAATGATTGATTAGTTGATCATGCGATTTATATAATCAAATTAAAAAATGACAAGAAAATTGGGTTATCACATCATGACCCTATAAAAAATTTTTCAGAAAAATGATCCCGTGTCTGAGTTTCTTCGAGCCGTCTTATATAATAAAATGCTGAAATTTTTATTTTATTTTCAAGTCTAATTTTAAATTAATATTAGTTTTAAATTAGTTTTAAATCAGGATTTTTAAAAATCTTTTAAATTAGTCTTGAAACTATTTTAGTATAATAATATGTTTTATTGTAGTTGTATATATTGCAAATATGTATTAAAGGGCTAACTAAGGTGCTAAAAACTGTAAGTTGGTAGTACAGCAGTACCTATATCGTCATTATAAGCCACTGATCAATCATGATGAGGTTTTACAAGTAATCAAAGTATATATATATCCTCAAACTTTCTCAAAAAAAATACTTCTTCCTCTAAAATTCTTTTTTTTATCGCTTTACATCAGATTTATTTCCAAAATGGCGATGTCACTAAATTGTTTACTCCTAGGAAAGACTTCTCTTTCTGATTCTTTTACGGTTAACCTTTACGAAACCAACAATGTTGGTGATTCTAAAGTCTTATTTAATAGTCTCAAAATTGGAGACCTTAAGTATATTATCTATAATGAAGTACGTGGTGGTAATTTAAATGAAGTTAAGATTAATTGTAAGAAGATGACCCTTTGGAAGGTTGACGTCACTTTTGGAGATTTTACTGAAGAATAAATTAATGAAGGCCAAGAGTTGATAGCTGTCAACTTTCTTTCGAATTATTTTAAAAATAAAGATGAAGCCGATAAAAGTCTCATCATTGTGAAACTGCCCACCACTGGTAAGTATCTCCCTCGAAATTTAAGTTGAAAAAAAAAAATACCTTTATTTAATTTTTAACCTTGCACTATATCATTCATTCTTTTTTTAATTACCTTCATACCCGTTTCTGTTACTGGTAAGTGTCTCAATGTTTTACCTCTCGAATGAGAAATTTGCAATAACAAAATATCAATTTGTCTAATGTCATTATTTTTTTTGCCAACATGCACCACATTTGTGGTTTCCTTCCCGTTTCTTTATAATCAGCACAAGAAACTGTGGAAACAGGTAACACGCGAAGTTGTTTTTTTCATTACAGCAGAATCTTCTTGTGTAATCGGATTTTTAATTTACTTTTAATCACTAGTCATGGATGCCATTAATATTGCCTTAAAGGATGCTATTACTAGTGTTGATATTGTTGGACCTGATGATAATATGCCTTTTATGGAGCGTGACACCGATGAAGCGATTAGAATGATTATACGAAATATTAATAATAATCTTAAATATTGTAAATCCAAAACGGATTATGACATCCTTGTGAGTGGTGGGGCTCCCGGAATAGGTATGTTCTTAATATAGTGTCAAACGTAATTATTCATTTATCACTAAATCTCGTGCATAGGTAAAACTCGGTATGGAGAAGAACTATTCAAACACCTGGAAAATAATCAGAATTGGGTCCCTTCTGAGTGGAAAAATAATCTGCATATTGTAGGTCTCTATTTAGACTTCGGTAATGGCTGCCAGCTTGATTCATATGATGATGAACTAACTCCAACAGTCATCATCGGCCTGCGAATCGCCTTCACATTTTTCATTGAAAGAAAATATAAAATGAAGTTTGAAACTTTTCGTAGACTAATCTGGGAATACAGAGACATTTTCATGATATCTAATGTTTTTTTAAGTATTTATAATCATATACATATAACCCTCCAACCCAATCAACAACTCTTTGTGTTTCTTCATATTGACGAGTTTCAGCTCATCGATCAGTGGGAGTCTAACGCAGTTATGAAAAGGCAAATGGCAATAAAACAGCTCTTTAAGGAAATGACTAATGACCTTGCATCATTCTTGTTTGGTCCACCCTCCCGTATCTTTGTCCAGACATTTCTTTCTGGAACAGCACCACAACTTGTTAAATCTACGAAAAAACCAGCAGGTGTTTCATTTACATTTGTCAATTGCCCACAACTGTCGCTCAGAGCAATGCTTAATATTGCAAATCATTATGCACAAAAATTTGATCCAGAAACATTCGACTGTGGTACATACAAATGGATGCTTTGTCAACCATTTCTCCAACTTTTGGAAGACACCGGAGGATTGCCTCGTGCACTTCAATACGTTCTTGATGAATGCTTTAAAATTGAAGGCGGTGAAAAGGAATTCTTTGAAAAAATTTATAAACAGCACTTTAATACCATCTTTTATAATGTCAAACACCATCTCCAAGAACGTTACAACATATATAAAACCATTGAGAATAATGAAAAACTTGCTTTAGAGCTTCTTTATCACAGTATTGATGCAATTCCTGTTAGTTACAATACATGCCTGGATCCAAGCAAGCAAGATTATACGATTGAAAAACTCGAGCGTGACTCACATATCATTCTCAATCCCTGCGATCACTATTCCTTTGAATTTACCATCAAGATGCCTTTCTTTTTTATCTGTTTATACAATGACAAATTAAAAATTGTGGACAGAGAACTTGAGGAGGTATTTCCGGTACAAAATGAAATGTATTGGCAATCGTGGGAGATTTTTGTAGCAAATTATGATGCATTCCGTACAAATCTGCTAATAAAACGTGGAAAGAAATCAGCGCGTCTGGGTGAGTTGTATCGTGGCGCTCATGGGACTCAAACAACTTTGAATATTGAAGTGGAATTGAAGGAACTTACTGTTTGCTATGCAAAAGAACAATTACCATGTGTGAAACCAATGGATAAAGAATTAAATTCTATTGGTGCATCTTCTGAAGCATTCGTCATCAGGGCAATAGTCCAAAACAACAACTTATATTACCTCTCAGGCACTGCTGAAAGTCTTAAAAAAGAACACATTAAGAATCTTGAGGGAACCACAGGAGAGCTTCACAAAATCCTTTCCCAATGCCAACACATAACAATTGCTTTTACAATACAACCATTTGATGACACAATTTTAACAAATAATTGCCTCATTATTATGAAAAGCAATTTTAAGGAGTATTTTGGTCCTACATTTGCATCGCGTGCCACGTTTTACATGACAAAGGATATCAATCATGGATCTATTGAGAATTACGAAGAGAATAGCTCTAGAAAGAAAGTCAAACTTGACTTCTCAGTGTGTGAAAGAAGTTTGTAAATTGTATCTGCTATTGCATCCCATCCAAAAAGGATAATTAAAATTCCTGCCAAAGATAGAAACATTAAAATTCATTAACTTCTGTTATAATATTCTTCAAGAATTTCATAAAAAGTCTCATTTCATAAATATGATGAAAAGGAAATTTCAAATAAAATTATAAAAAATCCAATGAATTTACAGTAGGCGATCAAAAATATACGGACACCTCTCAAATTAAAAAAAATTCTCATACATATAATATAAAATAAAACTAAAATATAAAGTAAACATATTTATTTTATCTTAATTTATTGAATTACATAAAAATATAGGCGCTAATAATTTAATTTATGGCAGTAATTACTTCAATTTTACCATGCATCATATTGATTAATTTTCTTATAAAATTCTGAAGAAATATTTTTTTTGTGCATTCTCTATTATTTTTTTCAAGTTAAAATAATAGTGAAGTACAGTATGTCGGAAAATGGATAAATAATTGTTTTTATATCTGCTAAGAGATTTTTAGTAAGTTTAAAACCAGATTCCTAATCTTAATGTTTTTGATGATTTTAGTGCAAATGATTCCATGTTTGAATAAAAAATTAACTAAAAAGGAAAGTCTGAAAATTAAGTGCATTTGTTTATCATGATCCTAAATTCAAAATCATGTGTTATTCATATACATGACCATACATCAGGTCACCACCATATATACCATACATACCATGATATAGATAAATCGATTGATAACGTTTGCTTATCTGATTGTTTAACCATAAAAAGCATATAAATACATCCAAGGGAACTACCTGGTAATTTTATTATAAATATTTATCTTATTAATATTTATTTATTCATAAAAAAATATATGAATATGTAGAAGAGGATTAATCCTGACCGTTCCATACACTCGTATAGGAATAACCTCTCTCTAGTTGATGTACCATTATCTGTAATTTTTTTGGACGTACCGCCGGAAAGGGAAAGTCCACTCTCGCTAATATGCTTGTTCAAGGTGATATTTATCACAAAACACATTTACCATTATGATGGTGCAGTTAGAAGACTTATGACAGTTTGCATTGAGGTATATGACACACTATATATATATATATATATATTATGTGAATCATTCAAAGGAAATATAGAAAACAACAAAGCTATCAAATTGATCGGAGAGGTCTTATCGCGTATTCAGTCACCATTCAACTATATATGTTATGTTAAAAAGGGTGTAAAGTTTACCAAAGAAGACAAAAAAACGTTTGAGGATTTCAAAAAAGTCTTTAAAGGAGGAGACAGTAATTTTGTCATCATCATTACTTGACACACCAAAAATTATATAAAAGCAATACGGAAAACTCAAGTCATTTCAGTTGACTTTCCCTTCAATAATCGTTATCCTGCACATTATAACAAAAAATATATATAAGGATAAAGAGCCGGGAACATTTAGTAGATACTTTAAGATCTCTAAGATATAATAGTATTAAATTAAAAATTCTTATATATATATATATATATATGTCATTAATATATTTACTATGTTCGGAACTAACTCTCCTCTTTCAGGACGGTTTTTACAAAACTAAGTTAGGGGTCATATCCATTGTTTCCAAAAAAGATCAATTATTTTTAACGTGACGCTAAGGTCGGATGAATAAAATTTATAACGTAAAATTGATTTTTTTATTATCTATATAAGATTTTTCATATGTATTTTTAATTATAATATTTGTAATATTTGTATTATATGATACGTAATATAAAATTTATATCATAAATAAAATAATTCCTGCTAACAATTGTTGTAAATGTTTGGCATCTTTCTAAATCATCCTTTTGATGGAAAGGTGCTTTTAGTTGAATACTTTTTTGCATTGGTCACATGACAATCGTGAATATTGTGTCTGTGACGATTTTATAAAATATTTTTGAAAAAGTTACCTATACTACCAAAAATTCCGCTCATTTCTGCAAAAAACTCATATATTTCGGTGCCACCCGATTTTCATTCCTTAAATAATGCTCTTTATGTGAATCCATTCAACACCAATATATTTTAATACATAATATTTATCCCAAAGTTTCAAATAGTTTGGTTTTTACAATAATTTTTCACATTACTTTTCACTTTTATTTGACGCCCCCATTTTCTGCAGATCGTTTGCAGTTGACTCGTGGATCACGAATTAATATAAATACAATATCTATAAATAATCATATGTTGTCACATACATACAGTACATGTCTTTAATAGGTACGTCAAATTTATAAACTCTATCTAAAGATTTGGCAAACTTGGTGGCGTATGCAATCGAAATTAGATTTATTAAATATAACCTATCAAATTGATTGAATTTATTTTTTGTGACAATCAGATAATGTGTAACAAACGTTTTGTTTTTATAAATTGCCAAATTGCCATATTTAGTCTTTTTCTGCATAAAAAATTTTTACAGTTTAAGCCGTAGTACAAAATTTTGTATTTTCAACCCGTTCGTTTTTGAGTATTTATAATTCTAAAATTTCTTTTGATTAAATTACTCGCATATACAAAATTATAATTCATATAATTTAAACTAATTAGCATGGAAGAAAAACCAAAGAATTTATGGAAAGAATTTGATTTTAGAAAATATCAGGTATTATAAATTAACATTTATTATTAATAATTATAGTAATATTGAATTTTATAGTAAAATAGTAATAATTTTTTGATCGTCAAAAGCTTCATGTCAAAATTTCTACTATTGATTCAACTACTGAATCAGAAGATGCAGACGAAAGAATAATTTATATGGAAGATTTAGAAAAAAGAAAACAAGTATATGGAATATGTGGAGAATGTAATGAACCCGGCACAGGAGAAAAATGGTGTCAACCTTGTAATGCTAAAAGATTTAAGGATAACTTTAAAAATTGGACTAGTGGAAATAAAAATATTGATGAATTTATACAACATTCACAACTTAATGCTTTATGTTATGGTAAATGTCTTGAATGGATACCTTATGAAAAATTTCAAAATATCACTTATATTGCAAAAGGTGGTTTTGGTAAAGTATATTTAGCTGAATGGCCTGAAGGACATACTGACTATTGGGATATTGAAAATCAAAAATGGCGTAGATGTGATGAAGATAAATATGCATTGAAAAGTTTGAATAATTCTTCTGGTATAAGTTCAGATTTTTTTAATGAGGTAATTTGAATTTACTTTATTTATATTTAATATTATTATTTGCATTTATTTATTAACAAATTTTTCTTTACTCGATTAGATTAAATCTCATCTTCAGATTCATCTTCTTGATATTATTACATGTTATGGAATAACTCAAGATCCAAATACTAAGGAGTATATGATGGTTTTAGAATATTGTAAAGATGGAAACTTGAGAAATTATTTAAATAAGTCTGAAGAATACATAGGTTATAGAACAAAACTTAGTAAACTACAACGAATTGCAAGAGGACTTTCAGACATTCATATTGCTGGGAAAGTTCATAAAGATTTTCATTCTGGAAATATATTGTTTTCTGATTATATACCATATATATGTGATTTAGGAATGTCTCGACCAGCAAATAAGCAAGCAGTTAAAAGAGAAGGAATTTGTGGAGTATTACCATATATGGCACCGGAAGTTATACGTGGACATCAATATACACAAGCAGCAGATATTTACTCATTTGGAATAATAATGAATGAGCTTCTTTCTGAGGAAATTCCTTATAATGATATTCCTCATGATGAATTTTTAGCCATTAAAATATGTAAAGGACAGAGACCAGAAATTTCTAAAGACGCACCAAAATTACTTGCAGACTTGATTACAAGATGTTGGGATGCTAAAATAGAAAACAGACCAACTGCCAAAGAGTTATATCAAACATTACTGAAATGGTTTAGAGATAGTAAAAATAGTGAAAATAATCAAAATATTGAAATTTTTCTTCAAATAAAAGAATGTGATGAAATTAGAGAAAAAAAATTTAACAACAGGTCAAATGAAGATAGGTCCAAAAATATTCAAACACATCCACAAGCTATATACACTAGTAGACATTTAAATTTTAAAAATCTTCCAGAACCAGTAAATTCTTCTACTTTTCAATTTAACTCAGGTAATTTAATTTAACTTATTTACTTTTGTTATGAAAAATCATTTACATTATTAATTTTATTTTTTCCCCTCCCCAATAGATGCTAATTATGATATTCAATCAACGGCAGCGAATCCAAGCAAGTATTTCTCTTAATTATTATTATAATGATTATTGCATTTATATTTATTTATTAATGGTCAAATACTATTTCATGAAATTTACAGTTTCAGCGTGTTTAGATGTTCAATTAAGCGAATTAGGTAATTTATTATTTATTTTAACCTTATTAATATTTCTTATCTGATTTATTTATTTACTTATTTTTTTATAGAACTAAATGAAATTTGTCAAGATTGCGAAAATAATATTGAATGAAGGTTCTTTCATTGGAATCAAATATTTAAGTAACTGAAGAGCATGTTGAACAGTTGAAGTTAACCTTATTTTATTTCTATTTTTATATTTTATCCATGTTTACATTTTATTTACATATATATACAATATATACATATCGTTTACATTTATTAGAAATTCCATTTTTATGTATGCTGCTTTTTTTAATAAATACATTGCTAATCGCAAATGTGAAATTTCAATATGATTACTGCGTAAAGATTACATAAATAGTTGTGAGAGTTTAAATAATCGATACAACGTTGCATAATTCTTTAATGCCGAATACCAGAGGTTCAGCCAAAAGGCCATTATGACATTTTTATTATTAATTACTAGCTGTAGCCTGTTGCGTTGCAACAGGATTAAATGAGTTTAAATCAGTATAACAATAAAATTTTCTTTTATTTTTAAATAAAAAAATATATTTAATAAGTCATACAAAGCAGTAAAAATTATTTTATTTTGATTAAGGGGTGAAAGAACGAAAAAAGAAATCACGCTTACTGTATGTAGGACCGCAGCATCAATATGATCGATCCGATCACCGATTTAGATCTAAGTCTAAAAGACGAAATGCTGTATGAATAATAACACTAGTTCCACCTAATTTCACAAAACAGGTAAGAAAAAATTTTTATTACAAGAATTGAAAGAATAATTTGTGAGATGGTCTATGCTTTCTTTCTGCGAAATGCGAAATGTACTTTCTTTTTTTTTTGGTAGCATTTGACACAAGCACCACAGTCGGAATAAAATATATTGTATCCCCAGAAGATTGGTTACACCATTACGAACCGGATGAAATCCTAGTATTTATCAATGTAGAGGACGACCTTATGACCTTATGTCCTTATCTAATGATCTTATTAATTTTGGGCGCAGTATCATATTTTAAATTTACTGTGGTCCGGAATTGACCTTAACTTTTAATGACCTTTTGAGGCTCGGAAACAAATTTATTATGATCAGCAAAGTTCTACAACAAATATAATTTTAGAAGTTAGACCATTAATAGTTATTTCACGTGCCGCATGCGGTAAAATCATGATATTTATGCGACACGTGAAATAGTTAACGTCCAGTGATGAGAAAAAGTGTGATCGCAAATAATTTTGATTGGAAAAAGACCAATTAGTAAACATGAGAAATAAGATGATACCTGGACGATATTTAAATTTTTCTAATTTTTTATAATTACCATTTTAATATTAAAATTTGTTCAATTTTTATTTATGTAAAAAAAAAAAAAATTTACATGTACTATACATATACAATCAATGTTGAACAAAACTATATAATAATACATCTTATTGATAGGATCCGAAATAAATAAATCTTTAGGGAAGGTGGAATATTTTACTTTTAATCAACAATTGCACAGTCTGAACAATTAGAGTTATAATATTTCGAAAGATTTTCTGTGTAAGGATTAAGTATTCGAGATGTATAAATAGCTTGCGGATGAATTATTAATTGTTTTCTTTTAAAAAGATTTGCTTTTCGATAATTTTCTACATGTTCAAAATCATCATTTTTCCAAGAATATATTTGATCACTTATTTCGGTTGCATCTGGTCTCTTATTTGGATTTGAATCCCAACATTTTTTCATTAATTCAATATAACACTTTGGTGCCTCCAATTCATTTAATTTAGGTCTAATTCCTTCACATATATCTAATGCCAAAAATTCATCATGCACACGATTAGCAAAAGGTTGTCTTCCAGTAGCTACAAAATACATAATAATACCAAAACAATATATATCCGCTGCTTGAGTATAAAGTTTTCCTCTTAATACTTCAGGAGCTACATAAGGCATAACTCCATAAATTTTTTCTTCGTCAAAATTGTCAACTTCTACACATAATCCCATATCTGAAATACGTGTATAATCGCAAATATCACTAGTGCTAGTAAAAAGGAATAATATGTTTCCTGTATGAAAATCGTGAAGAACATTCTATTTTTGATGAATTTCTTTAAGACCGTTAATAATATTATTTAATACTTTTATTCTATTTATCCAATCAAAATTTTCATAATTTTTATTGATCCATTTATTAAAATCACCACCTTCCGCATATTGAAGAACCATAATATAGTTTTTAGTATCTGGATTTTGAGATATTCCATATATTCTAAGAATATTAAGACTATCAATTGAGTATTCTTTAGCCTATTAAACAAAAAGAAATGTAATTATTAAATTATTTATAATCTTTTTAAAAATCCATGATCTATAAAGGTGTTTTGCAATTCATACCTCATTCAGAAATCCCTCATTGATATTTTGAGAACTATGTAAACATTTTAAAGCAACTTTTTTATTTATTTCTCTTGTCCATTCCATTTTATTGTCATCAGACCATCTCCCATATTGCTGAATATACCGTACAAAACCACCTTTAACTATTTTTTTAACTTTATTCAACTGACTGTATGATATCTATTCAAATACTATATCGTAATAAAAATTAATTTTTAATTACATCTGTTGAATGAAATCAATGATCTTTTTATTAGTTGGCAAATTATAAGACCAATTCGTAAAAAAATTTTTCGTATATTTTTCATAAATTTCAATCATCTTATTAATATGAAAAACTATAACATAATTATTTGTATCCGGATTTTGAGATATTCCATATACTTCAAGAATAATTTTATTTTTATCTGTTAAGTATTAAACATAAAAAAAATGTCATATAATTAAACAAAAACATTTTTAAGATCAAAAGTTTAAGTTTCATAACACATACCACGCTCAAAAATTCACTAATCATTAAGCATTTTAAAATAACTATTTTATCCGATTTTCTTATCCACTGACCGCTCTTTACTATTATTGTCATAATATAATGGGAGGAGTGATGAGAGACGAAAAGAAGTGATAGAAGATGAAGAGAAGTGATGAGAGACGTAAAGGAGCGATGAGAAATAAAAAAAAATGATGGGAAGGAAACAGGAGAGAAAAAGAGATAATGGAAAATGAAAAGATGTAATAGAAAATAATGGGAGACGAAAAGGATGGAATAATGAGAAGTAATAGGAGGCGAAAAATGATGAGAGATAAAAAATAAAAAGATAATCATGATAGGAGGTTGGGTAGCAAAAGATAATGATAGGAAACCAAGTAAAAAATAAAACCATAAAGTAAAAAAAAAATGGTTAGTAAGAAACGAAATATAAGATAGAAACAAAATAAAAAAAAATAAATAAAAAATTAAAATCATACCTTTATTAATTGTAGAACCGAAAGAACTAAAAGATCTAATATGAAACAGAAACAAAATAAAAAAAAAATAAAAAATTGAGTAAGAAACGAAACGTAAGTGAAAACAACTGAACCTTGATTGCAGAACCAGAAGGACTAAACTCACTAAAGGACCTAAAAATAATGAAATAGAGTTAGTAAAAGAAAAAAAAGAAAAATACCTTGAGGCCGAAAGAACAGAAGAAACGAACCTCAAACTTATACTGAAAACATGAAGCGATCATGTGGCCAATCAAAAACATTAAATCTGCCACGTGATCGAAGACCCTAGCAATTCCCAAAATTAAATATTAGAGATATTTTCTTCTGTCTTAAAATGGAGAATGATGATACTTGGTCATATGGATATATGAATGGTTGAATCGGTTAATCCTTATTTTTACTTTATATAAATAATATAAAATAAGAAATATACCCTTTCAGGGAAATGAAAATACTATAGCAATAATCAATAAATAACGTAAATTATTATTATTATTTTTTAAGGGCTGCGTGATAACTTTATTAATAAATTATTTCATATTCTCTATTCTTCAGTTTTACCCACCCCGATCAACGAGATGTGGCCGATGAAATAAAATTTCTTCCAGGTTTCCAGCATTTACGGAGATCCAAATTTTGTATAATCATTTCAAAGTAAGAATAAAAAATAAATAGAAAAGAAATAAACAGATGAAAACGAAAGATAAAATAAATAAATTAACTAGGACAACTAAATCAATAATTAAATAAGGGATCGCTAATTTGGTATCGTAGATCTACATTTCGAAATTTTGGGAAGTAAAAAAAACTAAGAAAAATATACCGAAAACTGATGTACTGAAAATCAATGAGATAAATATATTTCTGAAAAAAGCCTAGCCTATCAAGAAAAAAAATCTATCTAATACCCCCCAAGAACGGATACAAATGTTGAGTTGTGCGTTATTCCTATATGTATTTTGTATTGTTAATAAAAATAATCACAATATAACAGATAATGAAATAAAATAATTACCCATCAGATATCGATCCGTCAATGATCATTGAATGTTCCTCAAATTCCAAAGTATCTGATCCCTTATTTCCATTTTCTTTCAAATATTTATTTATAGAACTTTTGTCTGGAAAATCCGGATCTGTTTCACAGCCAATAAAGACGAACCACTTGTTTTTTCCGATGAAGGATATCTAATTATGAAATAAAACATGGTTTATATAGCTGATTTTTGACCATTTTACATATTTGGTCAGTTTATAGGATCAAGTGATTCGGTAAACGTTACTTCATATAAATACCGTAAAATTCCGAAAGTAAGCACCCTTACCAGAATTATTACAATTTTGGCCTACATTATGATGATCTTGGCTGGCATTATGTGCATGCTTACTTTCGGCACAGTTTTGAAACAAAAATTATTATTGCGAAAGGACTTACCCTCCAACCCACAATAAGAAGTAATGGTAAGTTATTCTTACGCTTGTTATCAATTTCATAAGTAACAATCCCGCAAGCTTTTTCAATTGTTGACTTGGATTTTCTATAGTGCGTCAAATGTGGCATATTGAGAAAACAACTTATAATAAGAAAAATAACAAACAGGGTACTTACATAAATCCCATTTCTCTGCGATTTATTGTTACGGGTAACGGTGTAATTAATTTATTCCCAATATGTTTTCCATGATGTAATGTATTCTTTGATTGAGTATTATTAATATTAATTATTATCATGTTAACCAAGTTGTTTTGGATAAAATTATTAATAGCTGAAAATGGAATCGGCGGGATGTTCATGGCTTATTTTAATAAAAGTTATAGAAATAGAATGAAAAGGCTATTTGGTAAATTATGAACGAGATTTGTGAATTTGCAACAGCAAGAAAAAAAAATTAGCAAGAAGAAAGTCCAATATATATATGGCGATTATTTCAAAAAGATGTTACTGGAATATTTCTATATTTGGCGAATGTATAAAAAAAAATTATTATCCGGGTTATTAAGTTAAAAGATTCACAAATTACGTTTACTAATATAAATAAATTATTTTTATAAAATTTTTTTTTTTTTTTAATATTTATATCTTAAAGTTGCCGATATTGAGTTTAATTAATTATTATCTCAATTTATTCATGCTTATGATTTTATGATTATTACGTATATTAAAGTATTTGTTGATAAGATGTTTGTTATGTATAATTCATTTATTTTTTTTTTTAAAAAAAAAATTTTTACATTAAACCTTTACATTAATTAGTCTATTAGCCTTTATTATTCGAGCATTTTTTAAAAGAAACAAAATTTTTTTTTTATTTTATTTTTATTTGATCAAGAGATAACCCTTGATAAATACATTTATATTTTGATAATATATTATAATTGAACCATAATTGGAGTTGGGGTTCTCAATTGTCTAATTATATAAAAAAATAAGTGCCAAGTGGTAAAAATGATATCCATAAATTAATTTTTATTGAAAATAATGAACTAGGTAAGCCTATTTTTCCTATGCAGAGCTAGTTATCGAATACTATACTAAGAATAGCACAGTTTTTCAATAACTTGATATCTAGTTAATTTATTAATGTTGTGGAATAAGGGATAAGGGATTGAAAATTTTCGTTCAATTGTATATCATTATTTATATTTGGTAAAACTTTGATTTTAGGATTCGTTCATGGTAAAGTTCATGGTAAAGTTCATGGTAAAAGTTTAATATAATCGTTATGACTATAATATATAGGGAGAATCATTTACAATTGTAACTATTCATTTTTATGTATATCAAAACTTCAGTCTTGTAAGTCAGGGCATGTTCATACAGAAATCCTGCAAATCGAATAACATTTTATAATGAAATTCTTTCTAAAAAAGTATTCTTTGATAAAATATATTTTTTACACATATTTATTTTTTTTCTTTATATAAAAAATTTTTTGGTTGCATTTCGCAGGAAAAAAAAGCATGGACCATCTCACAAATTATTTGTAACTATTCATTTTTTGACATTATTATATACTGGAAATTTCAATAGAAAATTCCGATTATTGTTTTTAAACTACCGAAAATCCATACTTTCGCAGCTGTCTTATGCTTTCTTGCTTTTATTAATAATTTATTTATGCTTTGTGCATGACGAAAAAAAAAAAAATTTTTTTTCACTTTCTTTACTTTCTTTTTTTCTTATTATTTATAAAACCCACGCAAATAACCTAGTTTTTATTATATCTTTATTCGTCAGATTAAAAATCTCTGATTGAAGTACGTAAGACGTTGTTTTATTTATTTACAATCCTCAAGTTCGGTTACGTTCGGTTAACTTTGGTAAATTAAATACTAAATTTTCTTTAATACTAAATTTTTTTTTTTATCGAATGATTTTTATAATCCGGAATTACATTTATAATATTAAATTCCGAAATTTATTTATTCATAATTTTCCCAACTTTTACCTTCCTGGTTAAAAATTGACTTGGTGTAAAAAAAACCATCTCCTCATTTTAAAAATAAATCTTCCTAATTTGGAATTTGAAAAATTTTTTTAATAAAATATGATTTTTTATTTTTTAAGTCATTTAACTGATTCGCTTTCTGCTTCAGAAAAAAAAAAAAAAAAAAGTTATTTTTTATTATTAAAGGAATGATTGTTCTTCCGGAAAGAGAATCTATTATGGTGACTTGTTTTTATTAATTATTGTGATGATTTCAAAAAAAAAAAAAGTAGATTTTCACAAAAGTTGGCTAAATTTTTTGTAGTTATAGAAAATGTTGAATAAAACATGTTAATTTTAATTTTTTATTTTTATTTTCAACGTGAACAAAGCCACGGTACAAATGTAGTGTTAATTTAAAACTTCTAACTAAATCATCACAAAAACAATTTCATTAAATACTAGTTTTTTATTATATAACATTATATTAACATTATATAACGATTTTATATATAACTTTAATAGAGTTATAGTTTAAAATCATAAAAAAAAGGGTAAAAATGTATAGATCTTTTTTATAAAGGGGGGATGGAACTGCGAAGGTGTATCATTATATCATTTTTAAAGGGGTAAAAAATATTGTAGATCCGAATAGTATTCTCAAACATCTATGACGAAATGTATATATACTAAAAAAATATGTATATAATATGTATTACGATATCCGCATATAAAACACTAAATTTGGCGTAAATCCACATTAAATATAATTCAATCTAGGGATTAAAAGAAGGGACGGAGTCAAAAAATTATTAAACTTCTTTATTTGGAAATATAAAAGATTTTAACGAAAAGAGTTAAGAGTTTCGATTCATATATAATAAAATATTTATCCATATAATAACTGAAAATATATCAATGAGACCTCGTGAACCAAAACAAAAAGATATTTTCATGTTTTTTCATATGAATGAGATTAAAAAAGTCGATTCTCTTCCGGAAATCGGAATTATATAATGGTTTAAAAGGATATGGTTAAAGTTATTTTTTACGTTTATTTAACTATCATTTTATTATCATTTTTATTACTATTTACTTACTACTGTATTTTTATAGAGTTCATCTCAGAAGTATTTCTTTAAATTTAATAGATAATAACTTTATTTAAAAAGATTAAATTTAATATTATGAATATTAATTGGGGTGAGTGTTGAGAAAAGGGACCAAATTGAAATTTTTTCAAAAAAAAAAGTTTATAAAATAAATGTAGATCTAATCATCTGATCCAGAACATTTGTTATTTTAAAAAAAATTTTTTGTCAATTTGGTCCCTTTTCCCAGCACTCACCCCAATTTTGTGTTCCGTTGGTGTTTTAGATGAAGTCGATAGTCGATTAGTGTTTGGGAAAGTAAAAAAAATTTTTTTTTTTTGATTGATGTACGAGAAAATAAACCATCAAAGGTTGGTATTAGTATTGTTAATACGATAAAATATTTACGTAACAAAAGTCGGGAAAAATAAGATTGAATTCCGGAAGTAGGTTTCCGGAAAGATCCTATCAAGATCAATATCAAAAGAGAAAACAATGGACGTTGTAATACAAATGATACGATTAATTACATGACTATATTCATGTTCATTGACCGCGGGTTTTTAAATAAAACCTATTTAGACTACTATAGATATAAACGCGGAAATTTGTTAATTGTATTCATTGAATAATAATAATATAGCTAGATTAATTACAATGAAAATAATAATGTTAAAAAACTCCGGATCTCCATACATTGAGGAGTCTCCATACATTTTAATTGTTTCAAACTATCGAGAAAAATAAAAAAAAAAATTTTTTTGTTTCACGAGCTTCAAATATTTTTGTCATTGACTCCAAAACATTTTCATCTCTTTTATTGAGAAAAAAAAATAGGTCAATTGTACACTACCTGGACAAAAGTAGCGGACCCCTAATAACTTCAAATTTTACATAATATTATTGCCTGAAACTCTAATATGTGATCACACAAATTCCAGTAAGCATATATGTATTGAATTTTTCATTATTAGCTTACAAGTTACTATATGGGTTTATGAAAAAATTGTAAAAAAAGAAAATTTGAACTAAAATTGCAAAAAAAATTATATTATTTCGCATTTACTTAAAATTGTACATAATAAAAATGGTTAAATTTTATTCATTTAAAAGCTATTGCTTTAAAGAATTAGCATATAAATTTTTATATCTTTATCTTTTCTAAAAAATTAGAAATCAAAAAAATACTAATATCAATTGTTTTTTAATTTAACCTTTTTTTTAAAAAAAAATATTTTTTCATTATTCAATTAATGACATTATATGAAAGCCAGCAGTATAAAATTTAAATATATGCTTTTGAAGTGTCCATTTTATTACATATTAAAATTTTGAGTAATATTGTTATGTACGTTTTTGAGTAATAAATAAAATTTGAGGTCCGCTACTTTTGTCCAAGCAGTGTATGTATATATGCTATAAATTGGGCAGAAAAGAGGCTTTTTGCATTTTTCGCAATTAAAAGATTATGTATTACGTATATTTTACAATTTTACATGACTTACATGAATAATTATCCACTATAAATAAAAATCAAGCTTTTTATTTTTTCCCAATCCGTGGTTTTTGTAACGTACATTTTAGTTTACGAAATGCATTTTAAAATCAGGACTAAAGTTGCTTGTCAAAATTAATTTCGTCATTTCGTCATGTCAAAATGACGAAACTATTATTACCATTTCGGCAATGACCTTTTTATTTTCCCACTTTAGGCCGTTTTACTATAGCCTACAATCTAGAATATTTTAATTAAAATCTAATTTTAGTTATAAACCTTTTTTTATACCGTTTTTGTTATTTTTCTTTCTTTCTTTCTTTCTTTTCAATCATAAGATATTTTGTTGATTACCCCAATTCTTGCTAATGTATTTCCCGAGTTTCTCAACTTTTCCTCAATCAAGTTGTTTTGCGTTTAAGTTTATTCTTTTAACTTGTAATAATTTCATTTTAAAGTAATAACCCCTGCATTTTTTTTCTTATATTTCTTAACAAACGCTGTTTACCAATCATGGAGTTTCATTGTCTCAAGAATTTATTACGTATTTCTTTACTGATTTTTTTTAATATGATCATATGCATTAATGCATCAAACTATTTTAAAGCTCTTCCATTAAATCTTTTATTAAATCTTTTTTTTCTAAAGCGAATCAAATAATAATAATGACAATAATGATAATGATAAATACGGTAATTAAATTTTAATTATTATTAATAATTATTTTGTAAACATGAATTAATTAAATTCATCCTCACCATTTTTTAAGTAATAAATTTATTATTTATTTTTCGTTTTGTTTTCCATGTGAAGGATTTTTCTAACAGGAATTTTTTTTTTTTTTTTTACAATGAAAGTTTGATAGTGTGCAGAATATCTTGACCAGGATGACATAATAAAAAAAAACGATAATAAAAATGATAAAAATGATAAATGTAATAAATGTAATCAATGTAATCAATAATGTAATAAATGTAAATTTAGTAAATGTGGTAAATGTGGTGTATATTATATTTTTACATTGTTAACATTACCTAGAATTCGGAAACTTTAGTAATAATTTTAATAATATGTTTCATTACATTTCATTGTGGTTCATTATGGTTCATTTTTCTTTGAAAAAGAGATGCACGCCAAAAAATTTGAGATATGTGGAGAAATGTAATCTTGATCTTTTTAGGCAAATAAATAGATATATAAAAAGTATAAAAGTATAGTAGATTTCATTTTTTTTTTTACTAAAAAATAGTACTCTTTTGTTATAAATATATTGTAAATATAATTTATATTAATAATTTATTTGTCTAATATTTATTAAAAAAGAGAGATTGAGAAAGAATAAAAAAAGGTATCTTCTGCTTTTTTCTTTTGCTTACAAATTTTTTTACCAAAAAAAAAGCAGGGTAACTAAAGGTATTACACCGGTTAAACTAATGTTCCACTTTTTTTTTGTAATATTACTATATGTTTTATAAGAAAAGCGACTTATATCCAAAATCGTAAAGAGATTGAAACTGATTTTTTTTTTTTCACTTTATTTTAATTACCTAAAATTGTGAAACTTATTTTTTAAGAAAATTCTTTTGCAGATCAAACCATTCAAATTATGCAGGTGATGTTTCATACTGCAAAAAAGATCGATTACATAATACAATTGTACTTGATCATGTAATATTATTACAGCAAATTTCAAAATATACGGGACACTTGAGAAATTTGATTGTCGGGTTGTCGGGTAGCCGGGTTACTCGGCAGTAGGTTATTATATAATCTGATATACTACACTCGTCACGTGTTATTTATACTTTTCTAATAAACAACCTACTGCCGAGTAACCCGGCTACCCGACAACCCGACAATCAAATTTCTTAAGTGTCCCGTATATTTTGAAATTTGCTGTAATGTACTTTTCATAGAACTAAAAAATTGTCAAAAATAAATGCGTTGTCCGTGACATCTAATATGCAACATGATTACAGCTGATTTCATAATGTACGGGACACTTGCCAAAATTTTTGCCAAGAGTTGTCAGGTTGTCGGGTTTGTCGGTTTAGATAATCATGTGTTCGTTATTTTTTCAATTTGCCGAACAGGCGACAACCGGCAACTCTCGGCGTAAAAATTTGCCAAGTGTCCCGTACATTATGAAATCAGCTGTAATCATGTCGGTATCACATGCTTCAAGTTTTAGCCCATTTTTTACCCAAAAATATAAATATATAAATAGTTTACTGCGCTTAGACCGTTTAGACGAAAATTTGGCGATGCGGTGATGTCACGATGTCTGCTTTTTTTTAAAAAAAAAAAATTTTAGGTTTAAAAATCTTAAAAATTAAAGTGTTTAGGTAACCGATATTTAATCCAGTTGTCAAGTAGCAAGCGGAAAAACTTACTGGAAATATTTAATTCTCTTTTTTTTTTTCATAAAAAATTGTATTATTGTTTACAAAGTATTGAGATAATGAAAAAAGAATGTTCTCATTCTGCTTCAGTAAAGGAATTATTGTTCTTCCAGAAAAAGAAACTATTTTATTAACTCAGTATTGTGGTGTTTTCAAACATTTTTTACTATAGTATAAACTATAATTATAGTAGTTAATTTTGTGATGATTTAGTTAGAACTTAAAAGTTCATGTTTTATTCGGAATATTTAGGATTTGAATTTACAAGAAATGAACTCGGGTTGTACAAGAATGAGTAATACTCTTTTCATTAGACATGGTACCCCTGTAAGATCAACATATTGAAGACTTGGCATCGCTAGAACATAAAAAAATTGTGACATCTATCTATCAATCTAATGTATGCAAATGCAATAATGTACCCCCACAAAAAAAAATGATAATTTTTTGAATGATGTTGGTATCACATGCTTTGGCCCAAAAAAAATATTTTTTTTCGGAGACGGAAATTTTTTTTTTTTTACTGCGGCGATGCGATGAAGTCATGCAAAAAAAAAATTTTTAGGTTTAAAAAATCTTAAAAATTAAGGTGTTTAGGTAAACGGTATTTAAGTTGTCAAGTAGCAAGCGGAAGACTTACTGGAAATATTTAAAGATGGGGTATGAGTAAAAACTGGCTAAAATTAAGATAAAAATATGGAGGCTTAAATAAATTTCTCCGAACTTGGAGAATTAGGTTGAACAATATTTACTTTGTGGACGGCTCTTCCAATCTTTATGCTTTATTGAAATTGCGAAAAGGCATAACTGGGCTTTTATTGGCTCTTTTTTTTTAAATTGAATAGGCTAGATAATTGTGGCCTTTCTACCTAAGAAACCTAAGAACGAGCGAGAGAGAGAGGGATCTGGCGACTTTGGCAATATTTGGATTTTTCATGAACAAATACAAATATGCCTAGCCTTATACTTCCCCATAAAAAATTTCCCGGGAAAAACTCCGATAAATGATCATTAAAGAATATCCGTAATCACAAATGACAATCAACATCTAATAATACTGAAAACGGAAAGGAATCGAGATTCGAGACAATCCTCCGTCTGATGATTTAAGTTCTATCTTCGATGAAGTGGTTATAATAACAAAAACTTCTTGATGAAGCAATCTACAAATATATTAGTGGTCGTCAAACATTGACAATGATGGATGATTGGATCGTTAAAAGAAATAATTTACAAGAAGAGAAGAATGAATTACTTGAAGAACGTGAAAAAATAATTACTAGTGAAATTAGAAATGAGTTAGGAGGAGATGCTCAAGCATTAGATGATAAGATTAAGATAATCACCTCCAAAATTACTTATATTACTGCCAAGATTCATTCTTTACATTGCAGCCGAATAAGAAAAATCTGCTGAAAATATGTAGCAAAGAATCTGAAGATAAATCACGAAAGAATAGTATCAAGTCAAGTAAAATTGAAAAGAAACTTACTTTCATATTGCCACACCTGAAGCATCATATGACGTTGCTGTTCGCATTCTACGAAATTTGGATGAATTTGAAAGTTATACAATATTAAAATCCTTCTTAAGGATATTGTAGATCTGAAAACTGGAGATTTGGTCTCGACAAATGACCTTAGAACCAAGATAAGACAATTATTGATTTAAGAAAAACTTTATTGGCCATGCGAAGAGCTGCAGTTCTTACAACAAGTGAATATGAAAAGAAAAACAGAGAACTTGAGGAAGCTTTACGTTTCGGTGAAAGATCATCAAGTCCATCAACTCCGGAAAAGAGAGAATTACAGATGGATGATATTGAAAATAGTACTTCCAATGGCATTTCCTTATTTGATCATAAATTAGATCAAGCTTATGCAGAAGTCGAAGCTGCAGTATCAGCAGGAACTCTTGGAACTCCTGGTCAAATAGGATCATTATCAAGACGTAATTCATACTTCTTTGAAGAAGATGCAGCTTACTTCTCTTCTTCACCATTATCTGCAAGTCCATTGAATGCTGGTAATAATAGAGCAAGTTTTTCTTCAAGACCACCAATACCACCGGTTGGTTAAATCTTCAACCGTGTGAAAAAGTACTCGAACAAACTAATGAACGCTGGACGTTCCAACAAATCCAAGAAGAAAATATTCCGGTAATAGTGAATCTAGTGGTGATAACAATAATAATGTAAAGAGAAAGAGTTCGAATGGTCGAAGATTAAAAAGACCATCTAATGGTCCATCTACACCATCTACACCATCTACACCAAAAGATAGTCGACAAAGTAGTTCAACAAGCATGGGTTTTCACTTAGAATCAGGTGGGGATGGTCCACGTGATAGCGGATATTTTAGCAGTGGTGATAAGCGAAGGTCACAAAGCAGTATGGCACGACGAGCCAAAGATATAACAGCAGCATATTATATGCGACAAAGTTCATATGGACGCAATTCACCCAATAGTGATGATGCAGCAAGCGAATACGACCAGTGAACGTGAAAAACGTGAATTAATGTCACATCATACACATACAAGATCGAAACACCGACAGGATAATGTTTTTGATCGTTTATCAGAGAGTCAAAGTGTCTGTCTGTCAAACACATTCGAGTACAGCAAAGAAATATAATGGTGAGAGACGTGGTAGTGTCGCTAGTATTATCAGTGTCTCAAGTGTCACCAGAGGATATCCTGGTGGTGTGGAAGACACATTAGCAGCATTAGAAGGAAGGCGAGAAGAATATGCGAAATCGCCTGAACTAAAAGTACAAGCATAATTTATTATTAATCTTAGAATTTCTATATTAGTTAATAATAGTAGAAATTACATTAATTTTTCTTTGTTCATATTGTAAAAAATTTATTTGTAGATACTAGATATAAGTGTACTTTTTATTTTCTTTTTTATTATTTTATTTTCTTATTTTATTATTTAATTTCTTCTTTTTCTTCTTACTTTATTCTTCAACCATAGATAGTAAAAAAAAATTTTTCCTATTACACCAAAGAATTCAGGCTAACTAAAGGTGATATTTACACGTGAAGAAAATTCCAGAAAAGTATATTATAATTAGAATTGCTAACAGTTTTGTTTTCCCTATAAATTCATTGTTCGTACGACATATGCAATATGCCCACCAAATAAATAATAGCGCCGATTTTTGGATAATAGATAAAAATATCTTTCGGAATAATGAAACCAAATTCGTATAAACTTTGTCATACGATGAAAACTTGGCGAAAGGATTAAAAAATCAGGGGATGAAAAAAATTTAAAAAAAATTATGTAATCTTCATATTAAAAATGGGGCGTCTACATTTTATTTTTATTTATCATGCGTTAAAAAAAAAAAAATATTTTTTCGTGTAAATGAACGGGAAGTACCACATTTTTATTTACAAATGCCTAAATTATCTAACAGAAAGAAAATATTTTCCTTTCATATGACTTTATAGTTTTTGTTTACAATAATAAAGATTCGGGAATGAATTTTATCATTCTATCTTAACCATCTGCCATGAAGAAGCCCACGCCTTATATAGTAGTTTTTTTTTCCGTTGTTTATGTTTATTATGATTAGGTAAAGATAATGTAGGTTATCATTGATCACTAGGATCACAAGATTTTGATCAAATCGTTATATTCGAATCGCTATTCGGAATTCTAATTTCCTAATATTCCCTAAACGAGATATTTCTTAAAGTTAGCTCACATATGAATTAATTTACCAATAACATTTCCGACGAATCAAAAATTTTTTCTATCAAAGCTTGGTTCCTTTTATCAATATAAATATGCAAAAATAATGTTTATCTGTGAACAAACAGTGAACCATTCATTTTCCACATCTTTTTTATTTGAATTTTAAATCAATCGATAAATGAAATCTTTTTGTTTTTTTTCATTCCTAAATGGTGTATTATTGTGATACATAATGTTAATGTTCATTTTCTTGTGTTCATGCTAGATCCTTACGATATCATTAGCCATTAGGTTTTTTTTTTAGTTTAGATACGTGTTATTTTAAATAATCACCATTATTTATGTTATTTATTGACTTTCCGTCGGTTCCCGGGTTCCGTTGCTCCGTTATATAGTTTCACTAAATATATATTTATTATTAATAATTCTTTATATAGTCAAATTCATTCTTAAACTAAAAATATTTTTTTTTTAGTTTTTAGATGAAAAAATATATTTTTCATTTTTCTCATAAATATATTACGTTTCATTTTTTTTTTATTTTAGTTTATTCCTTTAGAGTTTTGCTAACTTGCCCCCCTGGGTTAAATAACCTGATTTAATCACCCAATTTATGTTATTATTCATTTCACTTTACATAGATTTTATTTATTTAGATATTAGAGTATAATGACCAATTTTTCTTATATTTTTGACAATGTCTCATTTTTTATTGTAATCATAATTTACATTTTTTTTTGAAAATTTGGGCAAAATTATATAATTATATAAAATTTACTAGTAGGCTAAATCACCCAGCTTAAATCACCCTGGGTTAAATTAGTCTTATACATTCCTTTAACCACCACATTTAGATTATAATGGGAATGGCATACTCTAAAAGTATAGTCATTCTTGCTTAACAGTCAATCCATTATCACGTTTATATGACAAAAATGGATTTGATGCAAATAGGTCAGTCAACTATTAGTAATTAATTGGGATACGTAATTAATATATAATTAATAATTTAGCCTACAAACGTTATCTTATAATCTCTGTTATATATGTGCGTTGTTCGCGTGCAGTATCTTTGGTAAGATTTTAAATTGCATTTTTATCATTTGTATTCAACAAATAATAATAATAGTATTATATTTAAATAGATGCCTCCAGTATATTATGTATTTATGCCCATTTATTGCTAATAGAGTTAAACTCCACTCATACAAAGAATCGAATTCACGATCACCTCCAAAGTGGTAAAAGAGGATCTAAAAAAAGTGAATTATAAAATAAATAAAATAAAGATATCTCAAATGTACATTATATTCTCAATTATCTCATTTTCTAAAAAATAAACTTCATTTTTAGGTTATGTACTTTGCGTAGAGACTTCGTTTATATAAACAGGAACGAAAGGAAAAAATATAATTATACATATTTTAAATAGTTTTCTTTTTAAATTATTTTTTATATTTTAGTATTTGGAAATATTTTACTTTTCATAACTTAAAAATTATTTTCTTTCTTGAATTTTATTTATTATTTCATCTTTTGAACTCGGGAAATGTATTTTAACCTGAGTGACAATGATTAAATAAATCATGCACGTAAAGGTGAGTGGTCCCTACACCGGATTATCCTACTATCCAACTGTATCCGGATAATTTTTAAACGAATGATATTCAGATCTGCTAATTTACAAATGAATAAATCCTAGGCTTGGCGCAGATATTATACAATTACATTAATGCATTTATTTATATGATTTAAAACGTGTAATTTAATTTATAAAAATTTTTTTATTGTATTGAACTTATTAAAATTCATTTGTTTTACATTTTTAACATGTGAATATTGATATTTGATGATAATTAAAATATAATAATGTCAATAAAAATGCAGTACTTTGAAAAAAAAAAATTCACTTTTTGATTTTATTTGACTTTTAAAGATAGCAAAAATAATAAAAAATTATAAAATAAATTTTTTTAATTAAAACAAGAGACATCATTCATGGAATTCATGGAGAAGCTGTGAATTTACATTTATGGTTTAATCATCTGCTAAAGAGGAGATGTGGTGTCAAATAATGCTTTATAGTTTGAATTGAGAATGTATGGTTATAAATTATTTCTATTTTTTAATCATTTTGTGTAACATTCGAAATTTTAGGAAAAGATCCATTTTCAGTTAAAAATAGAGATTTTATTTAATGTCATTCGATGTGAATGAAAAGTTGTCAAATTAATTTTTTTTAAAAAAAAATTGTGAAATACATAATTGATTACATAACAACACCCAAAGAGAATTTACCATATATGTTAATATTCCGATTTTTGTGATTTTGTGAATGATGACAAAACGAAAAAAAAAGAATAAAACGAATTTTGGGAAAGGAATTTCTGATGTAACGAATCAACGTTAAACGAATTAAGTAATATTTAAATCTATCCACAATTTACTACCGATTTTAGTATTCTATTTATGCCAAAAGTTACGATAAACGATGTGTATTCCCTTTTTATATTTTTTCGTATAAATAAGATTCCGAAAAATTTAATGGTCGACTGCTGTAATAAATAACTCTTTCATGACATGATAAAATGTTAAATTGCAATTATTCTAAACTTGAGAATCTAATTTCTTCAGCAACGTCAAATTGATTAGATAAATCGAATGGATCAGGGTCGTCACAAATTGTCATAGTCCAATTTCCTAAATATTCGTAAAGTTGAGATACTGTTGATCTATTAGATGGGTCAACATCTAAACATTGTAACATTAATCTAGCGAAAACAAGTGGAGTTCCATTGACTATATTCGGTCTGAGTCCTGAACAAATTTCTTGTATAAGTCGTAAATCATGAGGTCTATGTGATAAGGGCGTACACCAGCTGACAACATCCGCTGATCCGCATGATCATGCCGAAGTTGTATATGTCAGACTCTTTGGATAACGTATATCCATTAAGATTTCGGGAGCAACGAAAGGTATTACGCCGTAAATTTGTTTAAAAGGTATTTGTTTATCAACATGCCCATGTACTAGTCCTGTGTCCGCAATTTTAGCATTTATTGAATCCATTTCGTTCTCAACCAATATGTTCCCTCCGTGTATGTATACTTCCGTGAATGAGATCACATTCATGAATACTATTTTATTTTATTTTATTTTATTTCAAAAGAGTAGTAATTAAAGTCCATTACAAATACAAGTGCTTAAGAAAACAGTTTATATGTAATAGTTATTTCACGTGTCGCATAAATATCACGGCTGCGCCGTGAAAATCGATATTTATGTGACCCGTGAAATAACTCTTATCTACAGTATATATCATCAAAAAAATCACTGGCGACCAATTAGTAAACATGAAAATAAATAGATGATACCTGGACGATATTTAAATCTTTCTAATTTTTGTAATTACCATCTTAATATTATATTCAACAATTTGATGGTTCTGATAATCTAATTTTAAATTTGTTAATTCGTGATCGTGAGTCAACTGCAAAAAATTCATAATTTCGGTGTAGCTCATAGTAATTTTTTTCTGATACCCGATTTTCATTCCTTAAATTAGTGTTATGATCCGGATGGATTCGTTATCCGTTTAATCCGGTCCGTAAATAAATGAATGATCCGGATGACCATCCGATTGAATTTCGATATAAAAATCCGGATGACCGATCCGTAAATAACGGATGATCCGAATAACCATCCGAATGGATCCGTTACTATAAAATTTAAGCGATCCGTTGATCCGTCAATCCGCGGATTTATCCGATTCGAAACCATCCGGATTGGATCCGGATGAAGATACGAATGATTCGTCATCTGCTATTTCTGTATACAAATCCGGATCCATCCGTTTGATTAGTACTAAATAATGCTCTTTATGTGAACCCATTTAACCCAACATATTCTAATACATAATATTTATCCCAAAGTTTCAAATAGTTTGTTTTTTACAATAATTTTTTCACATAATTTTCTACTTTTATTTGACGCCACAGATTCTCATTTTTTGCGGATCGTTTGAGTTGACTCGTGGATCACGAATTAAATTTGTTCAATTTCAAATCGTTTTATTTATGTAAAAAAAAAAAAAATTTACATGTACTATACATATACAATCAATGTTGAACAAAACTATATAATAATACATCTTATTGATAGGATCCGAAATAAATAAATCTTTAGGGAAGGTGGAATATTTTACTTTTAATCAACAATTGCACAGTCTGAACAATTAGAGTTATAATATTTCGAAAGATTTTCTGTGTAAGGATTAAGTATTCGAGATGTATAAATAGCTTGCGGATGAATTATTAATTGTTTTCTTTTAAAAAGATTTGCTTTTCGATAATTTTCTACATGTTCAAAATCATCATTTTTCCAAGAATATATTTGATCACTTATTTCGGTTGCATCTGGTCTCTTATTTGGATTTGAATCCCAACATTTTTTCATTAATTCAATATAACACTTTGGTGCCTCCAATTCATTTAATTTAGGTCTAATTCCTTCACATATATCTAATGCCAAAAATTCATCATGCACACGATTAGCAAAAGGTTGTCTTCCAGTAGCTACAAAATACATAATAATACCAAAACTATATATATCCGCTGCTTGAGTATAAAGTTTTCCTCTTAATACTTCAGGAGCTACATAAGGCATAACTCCATAAATTTTTTCTTCGTCAATATTGTCAACTTCTCCACATAATCCCATATCTGAAATACGTGTATAATCGCAAATATCACTAGTGCTAGTAAAAAGGAATAATATGTTTCCTGTATGAAAATCGTGATGAACCTTCTCTTTTTGATGAATTTCTTTAAGACCATTAATAATATTATTTAATACTTTTATTTTATTTGTCCAATCAAAATTTTCATAATTTTTATTGATCCATTTATTAAAATCACCGCCTTCCGCATATTGAAGAACCATAATATAGTTTTTAGTATCTGGATTTTGAGATATTCCATATATTCTAAGAATATTAAGACTATCAATTGAGTATTCTTTAGCCTATTAAACAAAAAGAAATGTAATTATTAAATTATTTATAATCTTTTTAAAAATCCATGATCTATAAAAGTGTTACCTCATTCAGAAATCCCTCAAATCCCTCATTGATATTTTGAGAACTATGTAAACATTTTAAAGCAACTTTTTTATTTATTTCTCTTGTCCATTCCATTTTATTGTCATCAAAACATAACGGACCATCTTCCCATATTGCTGAATATACCGTAGCAAAACCACCTTTACCTATTTTTTTAACTTTATTCAACTGACTGTATGGTATCCATTCAAATACTATATCATAATAAAAATTAATTTTTAATTGCATCTGTTGAATGAAATCAATAATCTTTTTATTAATTGGCAAATTATAAGACCAATTCGTAAAAAAATTTTTCGTATATTTTTCATAAATTTCAATCATCTTATTAATATGAAAAACTATAACATAATCATTCGTATCCGGATTTTGAGATATTCCATATACTTCAAGAATAATCTTATCTTTATCTGTTAAGTATGCTTTGACCTATTAAACATAAAAAAAAAATTCATATAATTAAAAAAAAACTTTTTTTTAGATCAAAAGTTTAAGTTTCATAACACATACCACGTTCAAAAATTCACTAATCATTAAGCACTTCAAAATAACTTTTTTATCTGATTTTCTTATCCACTCTTTACTATTATTGTCATAATATAATGGGCCATCCTTCCATGTTGCTGAATATACTGAAGAATAACCACTTTTACCTATTTCTTTAATATCATCAAATTTATTGTATGGTATCCATTCAAATACTGTATCATTCCAAATATTAATTTTTAATTGCACGTTTTGAATGAAATCATCGATTTTTTTATTACCACTAGTCCAAATTTTAAAATTTTTTTTTATATAATTTATTCGATAAGGCCTACGCCATTTATATATTATCATATTTATATATTTTATCATACATATTTGAATATCACAATAAGTATTGGTTGAATGCGTTCTAACCTATTTATAAAAGAAAAGATTTTATTATTCGATATTTGAATTAAATGTATCTGTTGTGCCTCAGCCTTTGGGTCACGTGCAATTATCAATATATTATTTAGAATAAAAAAAAAAAAAAAAATTTTTTTTTTGTTATTTTCAAAAACGAATACAAAGCATTACATAAAGCCCAAAACTGCTTATTAATATTATAAAAAAAAGCTAGGAATGATTTTCGTGATTAACTGTAGATCATCACGTGTCAATACATAAATCATCTATACCTATTGGTCCAGTTGAAATCCGAGGAAAAGGATCATACCTTATTTAAAAATTCATCAATATCTTTTTGTGAATTGTATAGGTGTATCAAAACAACTTCTGTATTTGATTTTTCTAGTCTATTTCTCTTTATTATCATCAAAATATAATGGATCATCTTTCCATATTGCTGAATATACTGTAAAATGGCTACTTTTACTTCTTTCTTCGATAATATAAAACTGGTTATATGGTATCCACTCATTTGTCCAATTAAACATCTATTATAATTTTGTAGCGTTTCTTTGTTATCAAAGGCCCTTGCTCTCAAAGCAACCTTATTATTATAAGAAAGGACGGAATATAAATAAAAACGGGAGAGAAATAGGAATAATAAAAGTTAGGTAGCGTCTTTATTTCGTATCCCCACGTAAGATATAGTGGCTTACCGTAGTAACGAGGTCAATTTTTTTTCGTGTGTATGTATGCATATATTCGTTGAAAGTGTGAAGATGAAAGTAAGAGAAGTAAGAAAGAAAGGAAGAAAAAGAAATAATATAAGAGAAAATATGAATTGTTTTTAAAAATAAATTTTTGTTATAAATATAAACGAAAAATATATACAAGGGAATAAATCCGTAAATAAGGGATATCCTTTTTTAATATTATTTACTTGAGAAGATATTTCAAAAGATACTTTGAATGAAGCAAAAAAAAAATTTTTTGAATTTATTCAGAAAAGAAAAAAAAGGGATTCTAGCCAATTAATATAGACGTTTGGACTGGGATTACTAGGATTACAAAAAAAAAAAAAATATAGAAAGTAATTTTTATATATTAATTAGATCACATGACTTCGTGAAGATCCCATTTTAAAAATCAGCGTGAGACCTTATGCACTATGTACTATAAGAAACCTTACGCTATGTGTATGTTTGACCGCTCTACAAGTTTCTCAATATATCAAAAAGGATTTAGAATGTCATTGTTGACTTTTATATGTAACATATTATAGAGGTGCGGACATAACGCAGAAGCAATAAAAAATAAAACCTAGTATAATATATATACAGTAGGTGGGCT